AGGACCCACTTTGGTGGCTTATATCCATCAGCTCCAGGGGATCTAATGTTCTTCTGGCTTCTGAACACACACACACACATACACACACACACACACACACACACACACGCACGCACGCACGCACGCACGCACGCACGCACGCACACATGCACGTGCGCATACACGTGCACACACGCCAATAAAAACATGTGTATGCAAGTAAGTATGGAAGCCAGATTCTCATCTGATGCCTTCCATCACAGTCCACCTTGGCTTCTGTGACAGGGGTCACAGATTGGCTAGACTGACTGGCCACATGGATGCTCCATCTCCCAGTGCTGGGATTAGGGAGGCCTGTGGCAAGGCCTGGCTTTTATATGTGATCAGGGGATCTGAATTCAGGTCCTCAAGCTTGCATAGCAAGGACTTTACCCAATGAGCCATTTCCACAGCCTGGAATTTGTACTCTTTTTTTTTTTTTTTTTTTTTAAAGATATACTTCTAACTATGTGTACAGAGGGCAGAGAAGGAGTATATGGATGTAAATGCAGGTACCCGTGGATCTGGAGCTACAGGTGATTGTGAGCTGTTCGACATGGTGATGGGACCAAGTTCTTGTCCTTAGTACATGTGCTTAAGCAATGAGCCATCTCTCCAGGCCCACAATTCTAATTTTTAAATGTCATTCTTTTTTGTTTTGTTTTCCCCAGAGACAGGGTTTCTTTGTGTAGCCTTGGCTATCCTGGAACTATCTCTGCAAACTGTGATGACCTTGAAATCAGAGATCACCTGCCTCTGGCTCCTGAGTGCTGGATTAACAGTGTGTACCACCACCACCACCGCCCAGCTTAAATGTCATTCTTAATTGCTCCTTTAGGTTTGTCCAAATGTGCATGATACAGTCTACACATGCAATGGCAATTCAACATGCAATTCTACGTGGAGAGAGAGGCAGCCTCTGCTTATCTCTGTGCACCTACCCACCTCTCTCAAAGCAGAGCAGTGGGTCAACATATCCCACCACTTCCAGCATCACGCCACATCTGTGACCACATTTATGACATAAGTTTACAAGGTCACCAGACATTACTAAATTAGTCTGAAGGTACCCTGACTAGCACTCCCAACATGTCTAATATTACATATCCTCAACGCTAAACTCTGAAATATTGGCCTCTTTAGATGAAGGCTTTCGGGAATTATCTTTGGCAAGCACAGGCTTAGCAGGGCAGTTTGATGATCTGGGCTGTTAGGTTCACATAACAACAGGTAGCCACAGACTTCTAGTCATTTCCTCAGAGTGAGTTGTTTTCTTTAGGGTGGCAATTGACTGTGCCCAGCTGTCACACACTCAACTTCACAACTAACAACTGGAAAGGGAGTCTGAGCCACACAGACCACAGAAGGTTTAGCCGGGCTCTAACTCGTGTGTGTTTCCCCCAGAGAACCTGAGTGTCTACTTGGAAAGCACCCTTCCTACCCAGGTTTCTCCACCTAGGAAGAAGCCTCGTGTAATGTGTGGCTGGGCCACGTACCAATCATTCATCCTTATGGAATGAACATGAGCTAATTTAAACACGGAAACAGGAGACAGCCCAAATCATTGACGAGTTTCTTCTTGTTAATTCACTGAAAAGCTATGTAAAAAAAAATTAGTACGAAAAGAGAAAAGGAGAACCCTTTTCCTGAGCTGTTCTTTGAGTCAAAACAGAAAGGAAGAAAAGCATCTCCACACAGTCCTGTTACTCTAACACGGTTGTCTCCCTGCCTTATCTGAGGCTTCATCCTCCATGTTGTCCGTTACTTCGGTCAACCGTGCTCCCAAAATAGTAAATGATAATTCCACAACAAACTATTTATAGGTTTGAACAACTTGTATTATAATACACTGTTGTAGCCAGGCGGGGCAGTGAACGCCTTTAATCCTAGCACTCTAGAGGCAGAGGCAGGCAGACCTCTGTGAGTTCCAGGCCAGCCAAGGCTATATATTGAGAACTGTTCTCAAAAAACAAACAAAGAAAATTGTATTTGCTAATTTCTTACCGTGCCTAATCATAAATGAAGTAAATTGTATTTGTTCGTTTCTTACTGTGCCTAATCATAAATTAAGTAGAATGTGTGTGTGGCGGGGGGGGGGGGGGTGAAGCGGGGTTATAGGGTCAGTGCTCTCTACGATTTCAGGCATCCACCAAAGTCCGTGAATGCATGACCCCCACTGGCTAAGAAGGGACCCCCATAGCTGTTTCACACAGGTTCCTTCGGACCAAAGGATTTTTCAGAAAAGTAAAGAGACCGTGAGACTGTGCAGGGTGGGAAGACATGAGCACCGCTCTCCACAGAATGCCTAGAACAAGACCGGCTTTGGGAGGTCGATGCCTTCTCTCGTCTACAAGGTGCTGACAGTCCCTTACTTGGGTGTCTTTCAGGACATGGCTGTTCAAACTGTTAAAATAATATCTTGAAGACAGAGAACTTAAGACTTCTTCCTTGCACCCTCCTTTTGCCTTAATCTATCAATCTATTAGTGAAGAGAAACACTGATGTTTCCTTTTTTGTTTTGTTTGGTGACTGGGCCTCACTACATAGCTCAGGCTGTACTCAAACTCACAATCCTACTTGGTCTCCATCATACTGGAATTACAGGCATGTTTCTCTCCACAGAGTTTAATATCCACTTCACTCCTAAGAAAGGAACCTCTTACCTCATGGCTTAGGAATGAAAAGACATTTGTTTTTAACCCACTCACCTAACTTAGGACTTAAAAAAATGTTGACCTGACCATGGTATTTGCTAGAGCATTGCAGGGCTATGATTGCCTGAACGGAGTCCACTGCTTATTTTTCCTACACTGGACAGGCAGAGGCTACATTGAGATAACAGTAAAGAACTGCAGCCATCTTAAGGGCATGCGACTTACTCTACTATTCCACCAGGAATAACAGGAAATTCTCTACCCTTAAAAGTCTCTTACTGTTAACTCTGTTGGTAATTATTTCAATGGCCACCTGACCTGCCTATGAAATAGAGAAGAATAGAACTAATGCACTCAGAGAATACAGTCTCAAACACTGCTGATGAGAACACAGAAACGTGGGGATTTGGATGCATGTATCCTTGACCCAAGTCTTGTCTACATAGCATTTTTTTTTTTTCAGGAAAGAAACCAGTTATCAGTCTTCATGAAGCTTATTTCCACATTATTAAGGGTGGTTGCCCTTCAGAAACAGGACCATTCATTCAGCTATTGTTAAACCCCGCTGCACATACACTCAATAAAAGTCAACACACACACTTGCAGCCTTCATTGCCCACAAATATCATTAGATGTTCATGACAGCATTTCTCTCTTGGGGGTCTCATTATTATCTAGGAAACAGTTTCCTATTTCAGTCTTTCCAATCACATCACCCAAAAGGATGAAGATAAAATATTTTCTTTAAAGACCATCTGCCCTGAAATCTCATTCACCACTTTCACAATCTCTTCCCATGTGGTACCAGCCTCCTCTGCTCTCCAGAGCAGTATGTAGTAAATTCTGAAACTGCATATTAGCTGGCAGAAGCTACCATCACATGACTGGGGAAGGAGAGTTTAAGCCATTGTGTTGGGAGAGCTACCTCTGAAGAACAACAGAAGTGGGTGCCCTCTTTGGACTGACTGAAGAATAACATCAACAGAAGGATGACTCCATCCCTGAGATGTTTTGGCACAGGAGGGAGACACAAATGCACTCAGGTGTATGGGCTCTAACATGACTGTTTCAACTTCCCAGCATTGTGATCTTGCTAGACACCATCAGTGTACGATAGGCTGGTACCCCATCACGGCAGAGTCTGGGGAAACGGGTCGCAGAAGGACCACAGCGATTCAACCATGCTTTACCACTAGCAAACCATGTTCCCTTCAAATTCCAGTGTGCTCTGAGTTAACATCAAAGACAAGAAATCTCAACCCCACCAACTGGCAGATACAGGAATTTCAACTGTTCTGATATGTTGACTCTAAGTAGATCACTATTAATTTCTTATTTTCCAACCTCCTACTGAACCGGAAACACCGCTTTCAGGGTTGCTGCCGAAGTTACAGATCCCAGAAGTCCCACGAAGGCAGTTCCTGCTTTCATCGTCCAAGCACAGGAAGTTCCCAACAAAAAGCAGCTTTTGATTCACATTAGCATTTCACACACAGTGCCTCACAATTACCTTCAGGAGGCAGGGGACCCAGTCAGCTACGACTTGACAGGTATGGTTGCCAATACAGCTTTTTCTTCCACGTTCTGAAAGTCACACCCTGCCACCAAAAAGACACTAAACTTTCTACCTGTTGTAGAGGACCAGGTAGATGTTGCTACCAAAAACCAAAAAACTCTAGCTTCAATTTATAGCCTGTTTTTCTTATATCCAACAAGTTGAGATTACATTTAGATATTAGTGGAGTCCTCCATTCATCTAAGAACAGGTTAATTATTGTAACATTCCATCAGGAAGTTCTCTATTCTTAAAAATCACTCATTGCTACTCTGTTGGTAATTACTTTGAGTGCCATCTCAACTCTCAACCAAGGAAAACATTTTAAAGGTCCTTAAAGACTATAGTATAAATGCATAAAAGACATGGGATCTTCTCTTAAGAAAAGGTATTTTGATCAACTAGAAGAAATCCTGTGAATGTTGTTAGAATCCATTTAAAATCGTGGCCTAGATCATCTCAGATGCCAGGAGCGTTTTCTTACCGTTTCTAATAACATTCAGAAACAGAAAGCTGTATCTAGATGTAGACAACAAACCAAGAAACAAACTCACACATCTAACAGGTACTGAACCGATGTCTAGACAGGCAAGAAACGACCAAACTCATGCATGTAACACGGGACCTGAAGCCAAGCGAGCTGATCATTCCTTAAAGTCGCCGTTTTCCCACTGTCATCTCCATCGGGTTAATTATAAGCCATGCAGGAAACGGTCCAGTTGGCTTGCACATGAAACGACCAGAATGGAAATATTTTAGAGTATACCGGGTACCTGAGAGTTTCATGAGGAGTTCTGAGGCAGCTTTGGCAGACATGTCCCGCCTCGGCACGTTCCCCTTGCCTTCCTGGGGTGTCAGCGGGTCCTCGGGGAGGCTAGGGGCCACCACTTCCGGTTCCGGGCTGAACACGTAGCTGGACCGAGGCAAAGGCGTGCTTAGCGGCTCCTCTTCCTTGGGCTCCTCCTTCACTTTAAAATTAAGATTCATGGGCTCCTTCTGGTTGGCAGCTGTCAAAAAACAAGAAGAAGGAAGAGAGAGAGAGAAAGGGAAAGGGAGATATATATAGGTATATGCATCTCCCCAAACCACCTCTAAGATGCCCACACTTCACCTTGTGCTTAACAGCCGGAGAAACCAAAAAGGCCAGGCCCTGGGCACATCACTGTACCTTAGACAGTGCGCCCGCGAGCCTTGGCCCCAGTTGCGTGTGAGCTTCAGCATATATTAAACCCGGGGTATTTTCAAAAGTGCGGTCTTTACAAAGCCTGTGGTCATTTTCTCCTTGGTTTCTTTAAACATCTCCCCTGGACACGCTGCTGCTGTCTCCCCGGCCTCTCAGCACATTCTCCAGCTAATTCTATCATTAAACAATGGCTCACGAAATCATTCTGCTGTCAAATATTGAAATAAAATCAGGAGTCAGCAGCAGTATCTATAACTGAACCTGGGATGGGTAGAAAGGTGAGAATGTCGAATCTGCCAAAAAGAAAAGCAGGACTAGAGATCCACTGTTCTCACCTTATTATCAATGGACACTGCTGACCAAATACTTTGTCTTGTCACCATGAGTAAACCTATGGTGCAGGGCTGAGGTCATCCTCACATACAAAATGGGTTTTTTTCATTTATTTATTTATAGTTATTTTAAGAAAAAATATTTTGGAGCAATTTTAGATTTATAGAACATTTGCAAGGCTCGTTCTAAGAGCTTCCATACAGACTTTCCTGGCACTCCCTAACAGTGGCATCTTACTTAATCACCATACACTTGTCAGAACTAAGAAATTCATGTGGCTATGACCCAAACTCCAAGGTTGTTCACTACTGCCCTGGAGAGCACAGTCAGAACAGACTAAGCAACCTGCCATGGGATGGATGGTGTCTATGGGCTGGCTACTCTGTGCAGGCCTGGGCACACCACAGGAAAGCCACAGGCAGCAGGCAGTTCCCCATCACACTGCCCCTCCATCTCCGTCAAAGACCCACGGAGTGCCAATAGTGGCTGTGCCACACAGGACACGTTTGTCGTCTGATTTCCTCCCAATCTGTGTTCTTAGCAGCTCTGCTTAGAAAGAGCCTGTCCTGTGCCGTCCACACAAACAAGAACGAGAAAACCAGCCCCCAAAGCTAACACAGTCCTGGTCCAATGTACTTTAGTGCCGTCCCCATTTCTAAGGATGCTTACTTCAGACTATCAGTTTGAAGGGCTTGGCACATTTGCAAACGGGGCCCGAGAGCTAGAGGGACATCTCCAGGTCTCACAATTACTACTTTGCAGAGTTGGGACTAGAACCCGGGTCCCTCTGTCCCTGACGTCCTTTACCACACTGCATCTCCACCTGTGTTTCAACAAGACCAAGCTTTAAAGCCCTGGTTCAGATGCCACGTGCTCGGCGAGGTCCACACCTACCATGTAACACGGCGACCCTCACCCGACTGTACCAATCTTCCTTACCCGTCCCAGTCTTGTCGTTCTCTGAAATATGAACACTTACCATACGTACTGTTAGGGACAGGACTGCGCCCCCACCCCAATGCCCGTGGAAGTCGAACGCCACCTTCCCAATGTGAGTGTTTGTGCATTAAGGCTTTTAGGGGACACTCGTCAGTTCAATGAAGCATGAAGGCAGGGTCGTAATCCAATGCCAGCGTTCTGAGAACTATTCTGTCTCTCTCTTCTTATGAAGAGAAGCACCAGAGATGTCTCTACACAGGGGAAGGTCAAGTGAGGACACAGAAAAGAAGCCATCTACAAGCTGAGCAGAGGCCTCAGGAGAAATCAAACCTGCTGACAACCGATGTCGGGCTTCCGGTCTCCATAAGAAATAAATATCCGTTGTTAAGACACCAGGAGTGTAGTGCTTTGAGTGGCAGCCTTAGCACATGAGCTAAGTGTTAGAGAAGCCCTGAATAATCTGTCCGCTCGACTCCAGGGCCAGCATCACGAAGACGCTGACCTCTGTTTTTAAAGCTGATGTGCGTGCGTCAAGAGCAGAGAACAGTGCCTGGCACACTGCAGAGGCCCCAGTGGTACCTACTGAATGGTGAAGTGTTTGCTCTACAGTAGTGATGCTGAGGGTATTCCAACAGCACCGTGGTCGGCAAGAGTGAAGAGCTCTGACATCCCCACCGGAAGGAGTCGGAAGTGCTTCCCCGACTTCCCAACCATCGTAAGGTTAGGAAGGCTGAGGTGACATTCAAAGCTTTGCTACCTGCCTGGACCATGGTGCACCTTTGCAGAGCCACGTGGACTCTGGCATCACTAATGGATAACCCAGCCCTTTGTGGACACTGCTACCAAAACCAAAGCAAAGGGAACAATGACGCTCTAATTCTCAACTGGGTGTTCCCTACCTCATCCCAGGTCACTCTAACTGCCTATCTACTTCTTCCCTTTACGCTTTCCAACCTGCTCCTGAGAGGCTCCTGGTAGCATGCTAATGCCTAGCCTTTCCCCACATCTTCCTTCCAGAACCACCGTAAATCCTTCCCCGAGTGCAGCCTACTCAATCACGGCACAGCAATCAGTGTGTGTTTATTACACATGTGCCTCCCTATCCTTCCAGAAGGAATCATTCAAAGTGAATAGAAATTGTGTCCATGCTGTGCCTTGTATTTGCAAACATGTTTAACTTCTAAGTTGAGACTAGGAAAGGTAAAATATTGAGGAAAATCCCAACTTCCGAGAGGGTAACCACATGGAGTGGATGCTCATGGAAGGTTAATCAGAAGACATGCTACATAAAACAAAGAGGAAAGGCAGAACTGTCAGGGGGAACCTGGGCTTCCTGGGCCTTTGACAAGACACTTGTGAGGGGACAGGCCAGCTCTGTGGAGCAGTGACAAAGTTTGCCCGGTGCTCCCGACCTGGTTTTCATTCTGACTGTATCAAGAACACCATAGCACTGCAATGTGTTGAGCAAGTATAAATGTGGCTAATGATACAACAAAAACCATGTGGAAAACACTTGTCTGCTCAAGCTTTATTTCCCAGGCACGTGGGTCTACAGAGAAGATGTGTAAATAAAAGTCCATAGGCTGGACTCCTTTTCTGCCAATTATCAGAAATATGTTCCCTGAGACTAGTACATGAAGCCTAGATTTTATAATTAATATGGCCGAATAACTGTCATCTTTGAAATGGTGCTACTTTTTAAAGACCCACATATGCAGAGAAAAGTAAAACTAAAGATGTTTTTACCTGAGAGGGGATCACTAGAAGAAAAGCAATCGACTTACGACTTGATGTGACTTCTACTTCATTCCTATTACAAACAGAGAGAGATCCATGCACACTTGGAAGTCAGCCCTTAAGGCCTTCACAGCACCTGCCCTGACTTCTGTTCTGTATCTTACAGCTGACAGCATGCCACACCTAAGATCACGAGGATGTCTCTCTTTCGCTATTTGTTACAAACATTTTAGGAGCTGAGCCATTTTGGCTCTATAATGTACTCGATGGAGTGGGCTGTCATTTAAAGGAATCAGATCTGCTTCTATGTGTATGTACAACAAATTAAAGATAAAGACAAATGCAAAAAAGAAACGGGCATGGACAAAAATAATCCAAAACTTCAGTCCTCAACGGTGGGTATTGATGGGGTGCAAACGAATCAGGACGCAAGACATCCACAGGGGGATTCCATCCAAGACTTAGTCTCTAAAGAGATGCTCCCGACAACTCATTTAAAGACCATTCTTGGGCAGGTGAGATGGCTGAGAGACTAAGAGTGAGTGCCACCATGCCTGATGACCTGAGTTCAGTTGGGATCCACATGATGGAAGAAAAGAACCATCTCTCACAAGTTGCTCACCCTCCCTCCCTCCCTTCTCCCCTCCCTCTCTCCCCCCATCTCTCTCTCTCTCTCTCTCTCACACGCACGCACGCACGCACGCACGCACGCACGCACGCACGCACGCACTCACACACACACACGCGCACACAAATAAAGACCATTCTTTGGTTTAACACTGAACACAACAAACATATAAATAATTACAATTGGGGGTTAAGTCATCTTCAAGCACATAGGGAGGGCATGACATGAAGATCTGCAGGTGAGGAAACTCTGAAGGCTGGCAAAATGGTCTGCCTCTAATCACAGAGCTCAAGGACAGAGGTCCTAGGCTCCAGAGCACCCACTGAAGATGCAGAGCCCTTTCCTTCCTCACCAAGACACTGAGTTTCCTTTAAGAAGGACACAGACCTAAGCAGTGCAGTGCGGGCCTTGGAGAACAAGCAGTGGACTGGACTGAGCCAAGGATCACTAATGACAAAGGTGGGTGTCATTTCCTGACGACATGAGATCCTAGGGCCACTTGACTGAGTGGACAGAGGGGAAAAAGACTGGAATGTACATGCTTTGGTCCTGTGCTGTTGGTCCCCCTGATGAAGGAAGGGGACATATGTGAGATGACGATGGAGCTCTGGTTTCCAGTCTGATGATTGCTAAGCTGCTCTGTGAAAAAGCCTGGCCACTGGGGATTACATCTACTACCTCATCCTAAGCCAGAGCCAGCCTGAGAAGAGAACCCCACACCAATGATTTTCTAGCAGTGTTCCAAGGAACCCAAGGATTGGGAGTTCTAATTACTATTTGTCTCAAATGTAATTTTTTTAAAGTTGCTTTTGAGTTCATGTCACACTTGATTTTAAAATGTGTGTCCTTGTCAGGATTACACCTGAAATGCCAAGTCACCAGAGACCACCAGTGTGCTGGCTTGTGTTGACGCGTCAGTTTAGTTTGGGGTAATGCAGTGTCTCCACAGTCCTGTCTACCACAGGACTCTTAGACTTCTAGTGGCAACTCCTAAGGACGCAGCTTGATGATCTTTGTAAAACCCTAGACCTGTGTGTGAGTGCCACTGCAAACCTGTACAGTCACAGTACCACTGGAGTGTGTGCGCACCACATGCCTTAAGTCAGCTACTCAACTTCAGAGTGTGGGTGTCTGGACTGGATCACTGCTGGAGAAGGGGCCACTGTACATACCACATGCCTAGTCTC